GGTTAAAAGAGATGACACATCTATATAGGCTTTATGATAATTATCCTTCTCCTCCCACACTCCCTCCCTCACTCCACTGGATTACTAGGCGGGGGGGGGGGGGGGGGGGGGGGTGGGGACTCCAACCCCCTCCGTCCCAGCCACTGGGGACCTTCCCCAGAAACCAGCCAAACAAACTTCGGCAAACCCCTTGGGGGGAGGGGGGAGACACATCAAAGAGGGAGACCGAACTGAATTCTGTGAACTGTAGTCCTCGGACAAGCCGAGGACTAGTACTGGGTCCGTGACCTACTTTTCCTTCCAACTACATTTCCCAATATGCCTCTCGAAGGCTGAAAGGCTCAAGAGCCAGGCAGCTCACGCATGCCCAGTGGGAGAGGGGTGGGGAAGGAGCAAGGGAAAAAGTTTCCAGTGCACTTGCGCAGTGGCTAATCCCCCCCTCCATTACTACAAGTCTAGACGCAGACCCTCTGTTTTATCCCCAGCTTGGCCCAATTACCAGGGAAGAGTCGCCTTCCCTCATCAAGGCAGGCCTTACTGTGCCAGTCAACAATATGCATGCTTCCATCCCTTCTATCTCCCTTATCTCTCAACTGGGGCAGGGGGCTATTTCTAAGCAGGTCTGGGAGTGCTAGGGGAGGAGTAAGGCTCTCTCCCCCAAAGTAAACCTCTCCTCCCCCTTGATCTGAAAACCATACAGCAGGCCCAGCCTAGTCTGGAGCTCCTGGAAGGAGACAAGCGGTCACATGGGGGGGGTGGGGGAGGGGGGGAGGAGACGCAGAGAGCCAGAAAAAATTGTCCCTTGTTTTCCCCTGCAGCGAAGGGGCAGCCTGTCCACAACATCTTAGCAGGGGCAGAAGGGATTGCAAGGCGCAGGGTGCCTCTGACGTGCCAGGCTTGCCCCCTCCAGGGCTGATGGTAGTCCAAAGCAACCCAGCCTGGCTTAGTCAAGTGGGGCAAGGTCCCTGGCACTCCTCCGCTCAGCTCAGCACTTTGCACCTGCAAGGATTCTTTCAGCTTATAAAATTCCTCCCACCCAGGGGCCTACCCTGCAATCAGAGCAACGAGATCCCAGCAAAGATCCCTCTTCCCAGGGAGGTTAATCTCCTTAATTCTTCCTCCCACACAAGTTTTGTGGGTTTTTTTTTTTCTTCTTCCTTTCTAAGGGGGTGGGGATGTAATACTGGGTGGCAACTCGGAGAAATAGGGAGGGACGTAGAAAGAGGTAGAAGACAGGTAAACTAGCCCAGTTTCAGAGGGTGGGGAGAGAAGAAAGCCTTCCACGCATGAAGCAATCGCTCCAAAGCGCCTACTTTGGCTAAAGCTTCTTTTCTCCCCTCCTGTTCTGCTCCCTCATTCTTCTATCTGGCCAAAGGCAGTCTCTCCTCTACCCAGGGACAGGATCCCAACTCAGTGACCTTTGCTGGGGAGAGGGGACAGACGTCTCACCCATTTCTCCACCATCCCAGGCCCCTTATCTCAGCACATAACCACAGCCCAAGTAACCAGTCCCATACTGATGGGTTCCCCACTACACACTCCAAAAGCTTGAGAGGAATGAACTCAAAATGGTGACCGGGGGTGAGGGCCCCCCCCACTGGGGTCACACAAGACCTTAACCACGAGCCACTCCTCCCCCAAAGGATCTACTGTGGAGAACCGGAGAGTAAAAGAGAATAATAAAACTATGTCCCAGGTGGTAGACAGAAAGCCCAAGGCCTCTGGGTCAGTGGGGGAGGGGGAAAGTGGCCCTAGGGAGCTAGTAGCTCTGTTAATCTATTTAGTTAAACCTGAGAGGTTTCTAGCTTCTTAGAACTAAGAGGAAAAATTTAGAGATTACAAGGGATTGGGGTGGAGGGGCAAATTAAGAGGGAAGGACTCCAGCTCTAGCCCTGAGAAAGTTTAGGGGGGGAGGAGTGTTGGGGAGGGGAGTGGAGGAAGGTCAGGTTGGGTCAAAGGGGAGGCCAGAGTTGGGCAAGGTGGGCAAATGGGATGGGGGGGAAGGTCAAGGACTCCTGAGGGATGACTGAAGGGGGGGGGGGCGTCTGGAAAGGCACAAAAGGAGAAAAAGGGAGATGAGTATGGAAGGGGACGAGGGCAGAACAGAGACAGAAGGGCGCTCAAGGGCCGGCACATGAGGGCCAAGTGGGAAGACGAGTAAGAGGGAAGAGGGCAGAGAGCCCAGACAAGGGGGCCAGAAATACTGGGAGAGACGAAGAGAAAAGGGGAACACACAGGAGGGAGGGCAGAGACAAGACGGATTGTAACCGGGAGGTCTGGAAGGGAGGAGAGCAGAGGGGAGTGGGGGGGCCAGTCAACAGGGAAACCCGAGGGGGTGAGGGGCATTCCGGAAGAAGCGGGGAAAGAACGAGGGCGAGAAAAGAGGGGGAGACGGGGGGGGGGGGGGAGGGGAGAGCGAGGCGAGAAGGGAACAGGTCCGAGAACAGAGTGAGGATGAATGACCGACGGACGGACGAGAGTGAGCGAAGCGGGGGCAGATCCAGGGCGAGCGGAGGGCACAGACCGGGGGCAGAGGGCACCGAGCCCAGCAAACAAGAAGGGGCATGACGGAGAGGGAGGCTGCGGAAGGCAGACGCACAGACTGGGCAAGCGAGGGAAGCGGCTGCGGGCGGAGACAGGCAAGAAGAGGAGCCGGGGCTCTAAGGGGGACGCTGGTGGGGGGCTGGGCGGCGGACAGGGAAGCCCCCAAGCCCCCACCCCACTCACTGGCTGGCTCTGTCTCTCGGGCTGGCTCACTCGTCCCTCGGGCCTCCGGAGCGCCGGGGCAGGCGGGAGGGCGGCGGCGGCGGCGGCGGGGGGGCGGCGGCTGCTGCTGCGGCTGCCTCCAGGGTGGTGCTCGGGCCGGGCCGGCCGGGCGGGCTGGGCTAGGTGGGGGTCGGAGGGGTGTCTCTGCGTGGGGATGGGGGGGGTGTCTCTGTCTCTCTGCCTCCTCCTCTTCACCTGGTGCTGCCTACTCGGGGTGGGGGTGGGGGGGTTAAAACAGACTTTGAGGCCGGTCAGTCGGTGGTGAGCTCCCGGGCCGCCGCGGGGTGACAACTAAGCGCTCTTTGTTCCCGGCTCGACGGCAGGGGGAGGGCGGCGATGGCGCTGGAGGGTGGTTTTGGGGGGGCAGGGCGGAGGAGCAGCAGGGAGGAGTCGGGGAGTCCGTGGGTCCGTCCGTCCGTCCGTCCGTCGGTGTGTATGCCTTGGCCGCCCGCCGCCGCGGCTGCCCCGGCCGCCCGCTGGACCTTCGGTCCCTGCCTCCCTCGCCCGGCCCCGGCCCCGGCCCGCCCCGAGTGAGCGAAGTCAATGAAAAGTTTCACCCTTAGCAACCTCGCGCACGGATCCCGGCTCCCCAACCGGTGAGGCGGCCTCCGCGGGGGAGGGGGCAAGAGGAGGGAGGGGGAGGAGTAGGGCCCGAGCCGGGACTACTTCCCCTTCCAAGCCCAGCCCGAGCCAGCAGCCCCGGCCGCCACCGCCTTTAACCCACTCTTGCCCGCGCCGCCACCCCGACGGACCGGCCAACGAAAGAGCGGCCCCAGAGCCGCCCAGGCCGGGGCTTCTTGTCTCCTTCATTCCTCCTTCTCTCCCCTCTTTGCCTTCTTTCTCTCTCTCCTCGTCCAAATCTTCCCCTTTTCTCCTTTCTTCTCTCACTCCACTCTTTTCTCTCTTCTCCAGGTGCCCCTCTCTTTTCCCTCATTCCCCCTTTCCTTCTCTCCTCTTCTTCCTTCTCCCTCTTTCCTCTACTTTTCTCTTGCTTCTTGCCTTCTCTCTTCTTTCTCCTTTTTCTCTCCCTTTCCTCTACTTCTCTCTTCCTCTTTCAGCTCTTGTCCCTTTCTTCTTCCTTGTATCCTTCTTTCCTCTGTTCTCTCCTAGATTCTCCTCCTTCCTTCCCCCCTTATTTTCCTTTTTTCCGTCTCTGCTCATTCTTTCTCTGTCTCCTCTCTGCCCTTCACTTTCTTCTCTCCTCCGTCCTCTTCTTCCCCCTCACAGAATTCTAGAACGCAGAAGAGACCTTACGTCCATCTAACCTAACCCCCTCCCATTATACAGCCGGGGAAAGTGAGGCCCAATGACAGAAAGTGATTTAAAGCGCCCAAGGTCACATCCCGAGAGTCAGTTAGTGGCACAGCTAAAGCCATACACCAGGACGGACCCTCCAAACCTTCTCCACCTCAAGCCCAAAGAGGAGTGGTGGCCTTACACATTGTTTCCAGGATACCATAAATCCCCGTCTCTCCCCTTTGCCCAGGGTGAGTGTGCGACTCTGTCCCCTTCCCCACCTCCCGACAGGGTCCTGTCCGTTTCTACAGAGCACAGGCTGTGTGACCCACAAGCTCCCATGGCGCTCAGTTATCTGGAGTGCCCCGAGCAGGAGGGCTAGGAAGGAGAAAGCATCCCTCTCTGGGAGCTTTGGAGCGATCAGTCCCTAAACTCGGTTTGATTCCAGGTTCCCCCGAGCAGCTTATCTGTTCAGGACTTAGGACAGAGCACGAGAACAATTTAACGCTTGAAAGCCGAGAGGGAAGAACGTGGAGGAGAGGAGGCAGGGAGGAAGAGTGGGCGAAGGTGGGGATGGGAGGGGGGGAGCTGGAGGACCTTCGGGTTCAGAAGTGGGCGAGGAAGAGGCAAGGGAACCGAAAAACCTCCTCTAGTTAGCTGTTTCTAGCGCCTCCTGTTTATCTGCAAAGCCCTATCTGCAAAGGGGTCCCCGGGAGGGCGCAGGGGCCAGCATGGCCACTGCCGCCGCCTTCTCCTCCGCGGGTGCATTTCAGAGACATCCTCGTGGCTCGCACGATCTCTTGGCAAGCAGAAACACCTCCTCTCGCTCCCCTTGAAGAGAAGTCCGGACACTGGGGCCGATGATCTCCCCCAGTGGGGACACCCGGGGGCCCGTGCGAGTGGCCTCTCTCCAAGGCTAGCCGTCTCACTGGGCAGGGGGTGGGATGGGCACGAGAGGGGTCCTAAGGGCGCTTCCATAGCCAGAACGGGGAGAGTACCTCAAGTTAGCGTGAGGAAGGCTGTCATCGCTGCCGCCGCCGCCGCCGCTGCTACTGCTGCTGGGAGCAAAAATGGGGCATGGTTTATCTCGCGCCCTCCCCCCACCTGCATAATCCGCCCGACGCCCCTGTAGGTCGCTCGGCTCCTGCGCTGGCCCTGCCCCCGCCCCCCCGCCCCAGGCTCCCCGCCCCCAGTTTCTGGCTCTTTATGACTGTACAGGGCGGCGGAGCCCCAGCAGGGTGGGGGGAGGGGGGCCCGTGGAGGGGAGGGGGAAGGGGGCTTGGTTGTGACGCCAGCAGCAGATTTGTCAGGTGGCTCGTGAAATCTGCTTCTGAAGTCCTTTTTGCGTGTTTCTCTGGGACACGTGCGCCGACGCCCCCTCCCATTCGCTCGTCCCTGGACTTCCACCCCCCCAGCCCCCCATCCCTTCCTCCGGAGAGGCGAGCAAGCCTTAGGTAGCTCGAGTGTGCGTGTGCGTGTGCGTGTGCGTGCGTGGGCACAAACACTCCATCTGTCCTCTGTCCGGCTGTCTGGGCCAGGGGTCCCGGGCGCTGGCCACCCACTCCTCCTCCGCCTTCGACCTTTCTGCCGAATGCCAGCGTGCCCGGCCCGCTGGCTGGCAGCCCTCGTGGGCAGCGAGATCAGCAAGTTTGCAGCTCCGGACAAGTTCGGGCTTATTGATTTTTTTTTTTTTAATTTTCTTTTCTTGAACACGCTGCTTTTTTTGGCCGGGGGACAGGGGACAAAGGAGGGACAGGTCTCCAAGCGCTTCCCTTCGCAGCTGCAGCGAAAATGCTGGGGACGCATCTGCCACTGGCAGGGGTGGGGCAGGGGGACGAGGCACGCTCCGGCCCCCCCTCAACTCTCTAATCTCAGCGAAAGCTCAGCCGGGTAGGGGCGGCCACGGGAGAGGGGTACCTCCACGGACTACTTTTCTGGTGCGTGAGAGCGAGTAGGGGCGGGTGGCCTGCACACACACACCTCCCCCTCCCCCTCCCCCTCCCCCGTCCCTCCCTCCACTCCTCCTGTCTTCTCTCTCCCCTCCCCTCAATGCCCTCCTTCCAGTGCCTGTCTTCTACCTCCATTATCTCCCGCACCTCTTCTTCTCTTCCCTAATTTTTTCTCCCTCTCCTTCCTTTACGCTTTCCCTCTCTACTCCATCTCACTATCTCCCCTCCCCTTCTTCTCTCTTCTACTTTCCCCCCTCCCTTTTCTCTCCTTTCTCCGTCACCCCCTCACTTCTCCCATCTCTCCTCCCCTTCTTCTCTGCCCCTCCCTCCCTCTCTTCCTCCTCCCCTTCTCTTTCTCCCTTCCCCTCCCTCCCTGTCTGTTTTCCTCTCCCTCTCCTCCTCCTCCTCCTCCTCCTCCTCCCCCCCATTCCACATGGGGCTAAACAGACCTGCTAGGTGCACGAACAGAGCCGAGCTAAAAATATAAGCGACATGTTAGCAACAGCCTTCCCATTGGCCAGCAAGTGCGACTGGCAGCGTCCGATTGGCCTTCGAAACTTACCAATAGGGATGAGGCAGGCGGAGTTGCGTGGAGCCAATAGGATTACGCGTGTAAAGCAAGGGGTGCTGGGAGTTGTAGTCGTAGCTAAACTTTTTTTTTTTTTAAATCCTCTCTAACTGGGTGGGATCCACAGGATGAAAAGCGTGTCTTAGCCATAGGGAATCATAGATAATATAGAAATCTAAGAGCTGTATTGGTCAGAGGAAAAGTGCTTGGTCCCAACAACTATCTAGGATTACTAATTTGTGGTCACTGACATGCCTTTCCAATCTAAGCAGTGGGATGGGCCACCTGAGACCATCTGGGCCATCAAATTCCATCTAGAGTGGCGCAGGACCATAAGAGACCCTCTGGTCCAGCCCCCTCATTTTAGAGGGGAAGTGACTTGCCCAAGGTCACACAGGTTACAGTAAGTGGCAGGGTTGGGATTTGAGCCTGGGGTGCTGTGGCCCCCAAGTTTTTTCCACTGGCCCAGTCTCAACCAGCATTTTCATAGAACTGCTGAATCAGAGTAAGAAGGACTTTCAACATGAATGGAGAGTCCCTGAGAAATGGTCATCCAGGATTCACCTGAGGACCTCCAGTTTGGGCCTTCCCCCCCACTGTCTCCCCTGACAGCCCAATCTACTTTTAGGGTTATTAAGCAGCTAGGTGAGTCAGCAGGACCTGAGTACAAATTCAGACTCAGACACTTACTAGCCGTGAGACCCTGGACGAGGCGTTTAACCGATGTTTGCCCCAGTTTCCTCATCTGTTAAATAGGAGTTCAAAATGGCACCTATTTACCAGGGTTCTTGTGAGGATCAAATGGCGTGGTATTTCTAAAGCACAGTGCCTAGCACATAGCAGGAGCTTAACCAATGCTTACTCCCCTGTTTCCCTTATTGGGATGGTGCTCCTTATATTACCCCTATGTCCTATATACCTCTCTGTAACAATTTCACCCATTGCTGTCAGATTCCCAGTTCTGCTTTCTGAGGCCAGTCCTTCCACAGGACAGCCCTTTAGGTGACTGAAGACGGCTCTTACAAGGTGATCCTCTGACCACCACATTCGAGGGTCTCTACATAAATTGTAACTCCTATCAGTTCCTCCAAATCATAGATATCAGCACTGATGGTTAGCATTAGTATTCAATTTTAGAAGTCATTATATTCCCTCCTCTTCCCCAGGCTAAACTGCATATAAATTTCCTTCCTAGAGTCCGATGGCCAGAAAGAGGACATGACTGTCAAAGGTCACAGTGTTGGGTGTTTGAATATGGCTCTGCTGACTTTGACTTCCTTTCTCTTCCCATTCCACCGTAGTGGAAGGGAGACAGAATCTCTGTCCACATCCACGTGACGAGTCATTAAGCTGGTAAAGGACATAAGCTTTCCACCTCCTATCCTTGGGTGTCAGCTGGAGCTGTCCTCCCTCTGCTTGGATGGTTTCAAGTTTCCCTGAGTCTGTGTGTGCCTTTATTCAAATCTCCCCCTGCAGTGCTGAAAACACCCCAATCCTGATGTGCACAGCCCAGCCAAGCACACAGTAGAGGGCTCTGGGGAAAGGCTAAATAAAGCCCGGACATGCTTCAGGAGGAAAAGAGGGGATTTTTCAAAGGCCAATTAGCATGCCCTCTTTGGCAACTGCTAAGCCCTTCAGATACTATGTCACACACACACACACACACACACACACACAGATTTCTCCTAATGATCAATTTCCTCTTGCCAGGGCAGGCTAGTAATTGTCCACAGACAAATTCACACTCAGGCACTTAAACAGTCTCCTCCCTTTCCAAATGGTCCTATCCAAAAAGAGCCCAGTGGGCTGCTCAGTTTCTCAAACAGGCATGGGTACTAGGGAGGGGACACAGCAGCAAACTTTATCCCCTTTTTCCAGTGGTCAGCAAGTCCTGCCAAATGGCTTAGTCCTGGGATGGGTCAGGCAGGTTATAATTGACCCCAATTAACTCTGGGAGTGGAGTGCTACCCACACCAGAGTGAGAAATGACTCCTGAGCTCTTTGAAGTCATCAAAGAAAATAATTTGGGATTTGTTTGTTTCCATTCCAGTTTCTTCCGACCTGAATCTCCTGCTGAACCAAAATCAGAAAAACAACGGAAGGAACTAGTTTTGAGGGTGCAAATGCTATTCTACTCACCGTGAAGGATGGTGGTGAATTTAGAGGAACAGGGAAAGTGAGCTGAGAAATCCCAGTCCTTCATTCAAAGGAAATCACATCTGTGCTACAACCTGCCATTGTGGGTAAAGGTTCAGGAAAACCCCAAGAATGACTATAATGGGATTGAGATATATGTGTGTGTGTGTATACATATATGTATGCGTGTATATTGGGGGGGATTACAAAACCCCAATCTTCACAAAAGAACCTTTAGCATTTGTGCTTCGGGCTTCAATCTAAGGAATTAGAGAACAGATTCCTATAGGCTTACTGGCTCAAGGCAGTCTGCAGTTCATTCACTGGTCTTAATTCAAGTCTTTTACCTACCCACAATGGGTTTAGTGCTGAAAGAGGTCTCAAAGGTTTCTGGTGCAACTCTCTCATTGTACATATGAAGAAACTGAGGCATGGGGAAATTAAGTGGCAGTTGGTGACACAGTATTCAGAATACTGGGCCTGGAGTCAGAAAAACCTGAATTCAAATTCAGCCTCCAGCATTTATTAGCTGTGTGACCCTGGGCAAGTCACTTAATCTCTATCTCACTTTCCTCAACTATATAATGGGAATAATAAGAGATGTGGGTTGCTGGGTTGCAGGGAGGGTTGTGAGGATGAAATGAGATAATTAGCACAGTGCTTGGCTCTATAGAGATGGTTTTTTTTTCCTTTTTGAGACTTGTGATATGTTGAGCTTAATAGGTAAAGAAAGTCAGTGGAGTGAGTGGCTTGCTGTCTGTGGGCACTTGTAAACTGTAAATCGAGAGGGCTGGACTATGCAGGTGATGGCTAAGGCCCTTCCTAGCTCGGAATCCTTTCATCCCACGAGTGATTTTTCAGCCACACAGACCCTAAGAGTGCTTATCCTGACAACCACGTTCAAGGGTCTCTACATAAATTGTAACTCCTGTCGATTTCTCCAAATCATAGATGCCAGCATTGATGATTAGCATTAGTATTCCGTTTTAGAAATCAATCTTCCAATCAGTCTTTATGAAAGTAAAAAAGAAGTAATCCAGTCATTCTCTTCATTACCCCTAGCTGATCAGCGCTGAAGCCAAGATTTGAACTCTAAGTCCCTTTAATTCAGGTAGGTCCTTAACTTCTTCCCTAAATTCCATTATTTTTGGTCACTGATGAAGACAAAGTGAGTCCAAGGGACTTGGACTTATGACTCTTTTACCTGTGTGCCTCACTTTTCCTATCTGTAAAATGGGACAAGTCTCCCTGTTGTGAGCAAAGAGCTTTAAGCTTTTTTTTTTTTTTTTTTTTGGCTAGGCAATGGGGTTAAGTGGCTTGCCCAGGGTCACACAACTAGTGTTATGTGTCTGAGGTCGGATTTGAACTCAGGTTCTCCTGACTCCAGGGCCCATGCTGTATCCACTGTGCCACCTAGCTGCCCCTTTGTTAAGCTTTGAGC